AGTTGCTAGTGAATTGTAACTTTTAATTTGGCAAAAGGTAAAGATGTTCTCAAGTTAGTTTGATTCCTGGTAACTCCACAGACATACCCATGCCAGTTGCGTAACCACCCCATGGAAGGGGTTTTCCACTGCCTTCTTTCAGGATGCATTTTTTACTTCCCCATCTAGCCTACAGCCTGGGAGTTGATGGTGGTCTATCACTCAGGTGCCCGGCAGATCTGTTTTCCTCCAAGCCCAATCAAGGCAAAAGGTGGACTCCATCAACTGCACAGAGGGCAACAATATTGCTTTCAGCTGATTTAATTATACTTAAATTGAATTAAATCAGTTTTAGCTTTTGCCTTGTGGTTAAATGTCTTGGACCTGTAGCCCCTGGAATGCCACTCAGATCTTCATCTTAAAAAATAGTTGCCTATTCTGGTCTTTGGAGTTTCAGATATTTGGGAATGGAATACATTTTTCTTTATTCAGGCAAGGCCAAATTGAATGCTATAATCATTGTACAGGAATGAAGGAAAAGCATTTTGATTCTGCTAAGTAAGCATTATGGGATTGCTCTTTCCCCTACTTTCAGCTGTACATGGATCTTCCCCGATTGTTAATTCTGTCCACCAGATGATGCAGAGACAATGTCACACCAAAATAGTTCATATGAAAGGACTTGTCCTTAATTCTGAATTAACTGCATCTGTGAATTCAGTTTTATGAGCAGCTGCTTGGACAAAATAAGAGTTCAGGATAGCTGTATTGCTGGGGTGACAGGATGAGGATTTAATGGGCACAAACTAAGTTATAATTGAATCTTCATAGCAGCTTGGTAATCTGAAAGGATCTTACCATGGAACTATGCCAATAGAACTTATGTTCCTTGAATCTGGTGGCAACCCTTTGTGATAAAAAGTACTGTGGCACATTCCACTTTATCTTTTACTTCCCAGCAAAAAGAGGGAATTGCAGTTCAATCAATGGAAATAATTTCCTGTGCTGTTACATGTATCTCTGCAAGTTCTGGGTAATGTTTTCAGTAATTAATAGGAAGCATAATTATCATCACACCTGACAATGCTCTTCCTGAAGGAACTTTTTTGCATTGCTGTCACCCCTAAATTTCCACTTTCACATCCAATATGCCCTACATCTTGAGGAGCATTACCTGAAATCACTGATTTATTGCCAGCATTGTTGGTAACAGTACTGACATCTAATTGTCTCCAAAATTATTTACTGTCTGACTTAGCTGTCTTTTCTCACTCACTTTTCCTTCATCTTGGAACTGTCCCATTCTGATAAATTTTCTCCGACCACATTTGCTCTTCTAATCTCTCTTTCCATCCATTCTTTGCTCCTCTAATTATTTCTGAAGTCTCTCACTGATTCATTTGCTTTCTCAATACCTTCATAATTTATCCTGCAATCTTTTTATATTGCTACAGCTTACGACCCCACAATCACTGCTTCACATGGGCTTCAGTCTTTCCTTGTTTTGGATACTCTTATTTCTCCTTTGTTTCTTGCTTCTTCTTTCTTTCCTTATTACACCGTTCTCTTTCTTTGAAGGACTTAGTACTTGAGTTCCTATCTAGTTCAAACATATTAAGTATTAGTACAATTTACTTCATACATATCTCAGTGTGGTTTGCTTAAAACTTTTGTATTTTCTGAGTGTTGCATTTTGTTCTAGCTAAGAGTTGCACAGCACAGCATTAGTGATGTTATTCAAAAATAAGTCAATTAAGCAACCTGTCTAGAATTGTGGTAACAAGAGTTGTTCTATATTCAATCTTTTTGGTGTTTTCATTTCACTATGAGTCCACATTGATCTACTGTATAGAGCTCAGGAGAACAGAATGAAATACCTTTGGATTTCAATAATGTGCCCAAGAACTGAGAACATTTGTCACTTTTTCTCACCTGGCCTGGCATAACTCTTAAAACAGGTCAAACTCAAGACTTGCCAGATATCTTTCCTGGCAATTTGGAATGTGTGGCACTAACCTCTGAACATTAGGATAGAGACATTTAAATTATGTTCACAACCAAGTATAATGCTATATTTTTATGCAAATCCACAGAGTATTTCCTTTTTGAACTTGGTCTGCCAAAGGAGTTTCCATTTTTGTCTCTTTAACCATTATGTCTGTTCGGAGTTTGCATTCCCACACAACATGGGCAGCTATACTACAGTTTCCAGCCCTGATCATGAGTTTATAGAAATCATAAAGTGTTGGCATGCAGGACAAGGCTTATCTAGATAGAGAGACATGTGAAGAACCACCTGAAATCCTCTGAAAATTTAAGCTAAGGATTTTTCATTCAGTAACATTTTGCCTCCTCATCTCCCCCCTCACCTCCTTGTCAAGATATGTGATTCCATTTCCTTAGGGTTTTCTTAAAATACAAACTCACAACTTGGTTAGTACAAGCATAGATGAATTGTCCTTCTGGAAATCTCTTAAAATGTGTTTTTTTCAGCAGGCTTCGGGATCCCATGCTAATAGGGAGCCTGCAAGATGGTTATTGTATGTGACATTTTGGTGCATTCTCCTGTGATCTTATTTATATTTTATATTAATTGTTTTAGTGGTTATTTAAGATTTGTTTTAATCGTTTGTTTTATTGAATGCCACCCAGAGTTACGTCCTGTGAGATGGGCAGCTATATAAATTTGATTGATTGATAAATAGATAAATAAATAAATAAATAAATGGGAGTTAGCCGAATACTTGTCTGAACCGCACTGTGGAAGAGAAGTAACAGCAGAAGGGAGAGACATGTGACTGTGGAGCAGTTCATGAATGTTTTCTGTCCCAGGCATCTGACTGTGCTGACTGTGCTGTGGAATGCACTCATCAAATCTATGGCTTTCAGCTGATGGAGTGGCAAATAGGCCTTTGACTGTAGTTCTGCATCTAAAGGAGAAGATTTTCACCCACAATTGGCTGAGCAAAATCCTACTCACACAGTAACAGCTGTGAACCCTGCTGAGGGCATCTGTTAGGTTGTTAATACTGGTTGGGAATCATATAGCTCTGGCTGTGTTTTGTTTATCAGAGAAATTCCTATGCATCTTCAATAGCCTTAAAAGATATTGTACCTCCTGTTTGTTTACATATAATGCTGGGACTGTTTCGTCTCTATTCCCTGCTGCTGATTTTCTTCCCTGCAGGGGGGCAAGCACATTGAAGGGCTTTTTTATTATTTTCATTTCAACTGAGTTATAATAATAATAGTAATATCAGCCTAGATGCTATTAAAACAAAGCTCATTGCAGGGAGCAGGGCCTGATTCTTCCGCTTTTCTTACATCAGCATCTGCATGGAGAAAGGATGTTTGAGAAAAGCAAAAATGGCATTGCAGGTACGAGGAAGAAATTATGGTGAAAGAAGCAACATTTTTAGAGTCTGGCCAAGACTACATGGATTTGGGTAATAAAGGAGAAAGTTAAGTTACCCCCTTGCACATTGTGATCTTGTTCACGCAAAGAAAGGGAGTGACGTATTTCATTTTTTTTTTAAAAGCACAGTCACCATGGCTGTTGAAACCGAAATCTTGAGGTTGCTGAAGTCTATCCATGGTTTTACATTTTTTGCTCCAGTGAAATTATGGCATAAATTGGCTATCATAAACCTTAGATTTTAGCTTCCATAACCCTTCTTCAATATGGTTTGAAAGTTGCATGATACACGCATGTGTCAAGTTGTTGGAAGCTAGGTAACCAAAGATACAACAGCTGTAGAAAAGGTTCCATCTTTTTCCAAGCTTATTTCATGGGATATAGCTTGGCTGTTTGCTGTTTGGAAAGTACAGCTTAAATATAATTTCATTTACAGTTGTTCTAGAAAACTGTATCTTGCCTTTTGTGCAAGGTAAGAACTGGAGAAAGAAAAGTTTCGTGATGGGTATCTTATATACACACAAACCACACATGTATACAAACACATTTATATAAATAATATGCATAAATATTTCTGAATTCTTGTGTACTTGAGTAAAACTACTTGCGTTTGTTCAATTGGGTTTGATGTTACTGATTTTACTGCACCAAAAATGTGTGTGTGTGTATGTGTGTGTGTGTGTGTATGTATGTATGTATGTATGTATGTATGTATATATTTTACAAAAACTATTCTTCCCATATTGAACTTTGTATATTAGTATGGGAATTTAGCATTCTTGAAACACTTGGATAAAAAGCTACAATATGGAGACTGGGTATAATATTGCTGAATATTCTGTTCATTAAAGACTAGTGATTTGTATCCAATTATTTATTAGGGTTTCAAAATAGCAAGGGATATTTTAGTTTCCTTTTTTCAGTAACAGTTAAAGCACATGGTGAAAAAGCTGTGCAGATCTTCAGCAAAGCAGCGTGCTAGCACCCAAACCCCCCACCTCCCAGTGACATCTAGTGGGCATTGTGGTTAACTGACTGTTCCCTAAGGTCAAAGCAAACCCATTAAAGGAGTGCAGTGTAAAAGAAATGCTACCAAATGTGTTTATTTGACAAACTTCCAGTAATATTTGGTAGAAAGGAAAGTTTATTGCTTTTATAATGAAGAATGGCTCAAAACATTTTAAAAGCAAGGATATACTATTAAACATCTTCAAAACAAAGGAGATCAGAACTCAAGTAGTTCGGCAACAGTCTTTTTCTGAAAGTGTTTGTTTAGCATAATTTTAAATTAAACATGGTGTAAGATTCTGGTTGTAAAAGATGATATACCAGTTCTGTTGTGAATTGAGCTAACAAAACCTTATGATACAAACTACAGTTATTAACTTCCCAGCAAAGAAACTTGGTTAATTTATATCTATTATTTCAGAAGTACCAGGCTTTATGGAATTGCTATGTACATGTAGTTTTTGAAAAAGAAAACAATACCATGAAAGTGTTCTAGATAACAATACAGTACATATGATTAGACAACTATTAAGATTACATCAGACTAAGGTGTGTCATTTTACTCTTTTTTTTGTAGAAACTCAAAAATACACAAATCATATCCTGGAAGATGATAGATTTTCTACCATTATTATGTCCATATCATTCTTTTTTACCTGAGTTACCTTAAGTAAACAGATTACAATGTGCACTTACTAGCCTGACTCAGAGCTCCAGGTGCAGCCTATGCTCGCATGAAGTATGGGGGACCCTCATTCATATAAACTAAAGCAATCAATCTGTACACCAGGGAAGGAATGCAGTGGATCAGCCCTCTCTTTTGGTATCAGTGGGGAGACCATGTCAGCACTGGGTCTGAGTGCAGAGCTCCTGATGGAATTTCTGTACTCACAATTGTTCACTGTTTCGGTGTTTGGACTCAACTGCTAAGGCATGGTCATTGCATAACCTCCAGTCATTTCCAAATGGCTTTTGTATATCCTGCCAGTAAAATAAATGAAGGCTGCAGACACACTGTTGCTGAACTGTTTCATACAAAATTAACTTCTATATGGGAAAAGTCTAATAATATGCTGACACTTCTTGAGTGCAATTTTACAATTATGAAGCAGATAGAGCCTGTAAAACACTTGCTGAACATTAATTTTACGGTAGTCTGTACAGAACAGTAGATGTAATGTAATTATGTACAGAAGTTTATTTTCATAGTATTTTGTGCAACCCAGTCTCCGTTTGCAGTTAAAAAGGCTGCTGTCTGTTCCTCAGCTATTCAGATTCCTTAATGCAGCTAGTAATGGAGAATATATAAAAAAGAGGACCACTGATCCCAAACAAATACTGTGCTACACAGACAGCTGTACATAATTCATATAGTGCATATATCAGAGTTACATATAGCAGCAAATATAGACAATGACTTTTACAGTTTCTAGGCATGATATACTTTACATGGGAATGAATATTTCTACAAAAGAAATTAGGAAGGTCTGGGTTTATAGGAAACAACATCTTCTATTCATGTTCAGAAAAATAGTGCAGTAGGAATAAATCCTTTACAGTAGCAATTATATAATTTAGAAGCACTGTTAACTCAAAAGTTTTAAAAAGCCACATACAAAATGAAGTGTATTTGTTCTCAACAGTTATGTCAATCACGTTTGCTGTAATACTTATCAGAAGTATCCATCTTCTTCATCTTCTTTGTGCTCTATTTGCTCCCTATTTCTTGTAATCGCTTTCCTCTTTTGTTTAATCTATTACAGACTTAAGTAGAATGAGTACACTTGAAGCAATTTCTAGCTAAAGTCATATTGATGAAAAACACAGGTGTTCAGTCACATTTACGAGGTAAGTTTGGAATAATTTGGAGGAGAAAATTTACGTTTTAAATACTTCAGAATATAAAGTGGAAGACAGCTTACTACGGTGATGGCTGACACTTTCCATAGGAAGGTCACTGTTGTGATAAAGGCAACATCTATAGACATAAAAAAAAAGGACATCAGTTATAAAAGTAGAAAAGAAGGGCAAGATCATTAAATAACAGTGAATCATTGTGCCATGTTTTAGGAAGCACTGCAGGATTAGATACTGTGCTTAGATGGGAGACTACCAGAAAATCCCAGGCTAGACCACAAAACAGGAGAAAAGAAAAGAAAAAAGAAAAGAAAAGTCAATGTTGCCAAGAAAAGTACATGGACTTGTAGGAGGGAAGTTTGACTCAAGACAAAACTGTTTATTTAAAAAAATATATGCCAGGAGCTGATTAATTTTACAACACAATTGTTCATTGTCATATGACTTTTATAAACATGTTTTTTATCATTAGTTTGTTTTGACAGCATTCTGAATGACCCAACCATCAAGACAAATCTGGAAAGGTAACCCTATCATTCAAAGACAAACACAACAAAGAACAGAAGCAGTTTTCAAAATCAGTTTGCTTTGATAATCTAGCATTCACTAAATAAAAATTAATTTGGAATTAATGTTTAATTCTGTATATTTCTTCATGAGTCTTTTTTCATTAAATGTTATTCTGATATGTTAACAAAAGAAATGTGTTCAATATATCTATGAGAAATAACGCACAAAGACGACTTTGTTTTTGTTCACTGTAATACCTCAGAGACTGAACATGATCCCCTCATATTTATTTTTATTTTAAAAATAATAGAGAAAACTTAGAAATATCTGTAACTACTATTCCAAATTCTTGTGATACAATAGCCATCACATAAGTACAGTATATATTTTTAAGGCTATAATTTTATTAAATCAAGTGATATGGATGATCCATAAAATTTTAATTACAAATTAAAAATTGGTTCAAATTAAATCAGTGTTTCTTCGATTTTTGACAGGCCCAATACTGTACTTCAACTTTGTGTGTATGTATATGAAGAGAGACAGAAAAAAATTATATATACACACAACTCACACTCCTTCAAGATGCCTTCTCTTGATAGTTTCTTTATAAAGCAATGGAAAATTTAATTTCCCAAACAAAACTATTAAATATCAAATAAAACATGTTATACTCACTGATATTAATGTACATTCAAACTTGAATTTTTTACATAGTAGTATTCTTTAGCCCTGTTCATGTATTGTATTTTATTTATTCTACATTCAAAAATATGATGTGGTGATTGATAACTATGTGTAAATTCCCATACATGTCTTCTACTTTTTTTCAGCTTTCTACTTACAACAGATTACATATAAAATATGTAAAATTTATGGAGATAAACAGGGTATACCAAAGGACAGGCCCTACAGGCCAATTGCAACATGCTTTATTAATTGTTTTTCAGAGAACATGTTACTGTACTTAGGAATGATCAAAGATCATGCATCAAATCAGTCAGGATGTGTTTAGAAGAAAACAGCAACCAATGTGAACATTTAAGGTAATTTATATAATAAACTATCTATGGGGCCTGACTTTTTCAATACAACTCCTAAAATCCTTCAGATTTCCAGTATCTAAAGACCAGTGAAAATTAAAGGGACATCTTCTCAGTGTTAGAAAAATGAGATGTACACTTTTAGATAAGTTTTTCTACAGGGCATCTTATCTTTAAGGAAATAGCAATGATACCTACCTAAGAAAGCTCCAAAAGACACTCTGCCTATACCTGTTCCAATAAGGTAGAAGAAGAAAGGACAGATTCATAGAAGGGCAAAAAAATAAGAGAAGATACAATCATAAAGGAATTATTAGAAAGATCTGAAAGGTAGAAAGAGATTAGTAAAATCTAAAGACTGAATATATATACTAAAAATATACTGAAAATGAGCATTATTTTTTAAAATCTACATTAAATATAAGAAAAAAATGCTAGCCCAACAGGAGCCTGAATTCAGATCTTGGAGGGATGGGACCCTAGTAAGTGTGTATGAAAGCATTTGAGATAAAATTTAAGATTTTTATTTGCAATGAAATACATTTCTTTTCAATAAATGTTGTACAGCTATAGCAGTTGATCACTGTAGCTAAATAAAATTCAGTATTATTGAAAATAATTTATATAAAAACTGTGTCAAATTACTCTCAATATTTCAGATGCACTTATCCGCTTTTCAAACATACATCATTTTTATAAAAAGCAACAGTGACTATGCATTATGCATGTGGGAGCTACTCACCAAAATATTCATTAAGGAATGCAAGAGAGGCTACATAGCAGCAAAGACTGAAGATTTCAGCCACGATCATTAACCAGTGCCATGTCCGTATAGTGAGAGCAACCATCAAGAGTTCAGTCAGGATCAGTGCAGTGAAGGAAATGGCAACAACATGGACAAATTCGGATTCAAAAAGAAGAAGGGCTCCATACATCAAAATGCCACCTAAGACACACATACATAAGAATTTTATTACCGATTCACTGTACAGACTAGTTTCATGCATGTGCCTTTACAACTGCAACTTTTAATTATTTTACTGTAAAAAGCTATTTGCAATCATTTTGAAAACAATGCTGTAAAAGTTAAGAATCTGATATATTTCAGCATCTATCCTAGAAATAAGTTACTTTAGAGGTACAACATGTATTCATTTATTTCTGAACTTAAATGAAAATATAGAGAAAGTATACCGTTAACTCTACAATGCAAACTTCTTGAAATAAGATCCCTAGACTTCTGTGGGGAAAACTGTTGTGCAGTATATGAAATTCAAGTGTATATTTTTCTGGTTGTGTTAGTTAGAATTTGATTAAGTCCATTCAAATATTTCTAACCCCTAACCCCCATGATCTCACGTTATGATGATGGCTATATCCCTGGCATTCACACATTCAGATGAATGCACAAAAGGGGATATATATACACATGCAGATTATACAGAAACCCATAAAGACACCTCTATAATATTCAACTATCCATGTGGACTCAGGGGACACGATCCAATGTCCAAATATGCCTACATGAAGTGGTCCCACTCTGTTTTTCATGCACTGAAGGGAATGTAAGAAAGGAGTTCATAAAAAAACCCCTCATTTTAAGTGGTATGCTTCAAACAAACATGCAAACAATTCTATGTGGTACTATGAATAGGCTTTATGTTACTTCAGTATCATATTTTAAGATAAACAGTTATTAAAAATAATGTGAATGAAATTTTAAGCTTTATAAATGTAACTGTGAAACTCAAATAGTACTATTCTTTAGTTCAGAAAATATGAAGCAGAACTTCACCTTGATAAATACTGATTAAAACCCAGATGAGGAAGGTCTTAAATGATAAGGATCGTCCCTAGAAGAAATGGCAAAGACAGGTTAGTTTACAACTGCAGAAAAAGTAGTTTGAAATACTAAACAAAAGGAAAAACAATACCCACGTTGGTCCATTAAGAACCCCTCCTACCCAGCAACTATAATATAACAATACAGTACAGAAAACCGAAATGGCACAAAGGAGTTGCAAACTTTTGAGTTCTCTAGAATTCTTTATCAGGCCTGTCACTGAAAAATGGACATGACAAATATGTCCCCATTTTTATAAATATAATATTTAAAAAGTAGGCCACAACCATGACATTTGCCGTTGAAAGTTAGTCTTAAGGTAAATAGACTGAGTGTATTAATGCAGAGTTCAGCAATCCTTTCAGACGGCGCCACTTCACGATGCAGGAGTGCCCATGCAGATTCAAAAGAATGGCTGAGATAAGATCACATGAGGCCCGGCTATGTGCGCGCGTGTGTGTAATACCAGCAAAGTCAGAATAATTTATGCTATATGTTAGGTAAGTCATTTAAACCGCACTATAGCATTATTTTAGTGATATAACAAAATAACAATAACCAAAAAGACTAAATAGACTGAGTATGACATTTTATTTTAGGCACTACAGGACTCTGATGTTTGTGGAACATCAAACTAAGATGGAACTTTTTGGGGAAAAAAAGGATACAAAAATAAAGGTAAACTTTATCAGCCACATGGATCATTTATTAAATCTGCACAAGCCATACAAGGTTGCAGCAAAGTTTCATTGGTTTGGTTGTTAGGGATTCATTTTAAAACAATGAAAATACATTTGTACATGTAATCTTCTTGGCAACCATGTAGGTAGTTTGCTGTTGCTTCTTTCCTGGATGTGTTTTCTACCTTCCAGTCTAGCTTATACCCACTGTATTTCCTTAGGTTTGCCTATCCAAATTCTAAAAAGGTTCAGTCTGCTTAGCATTTTGAGAACGACCAAGATCATTGGGTTCTGCCAAGGAAATAATTTTATTTAGGATTACAACAAGAGTACAGCCAACTTTTATTTTAAATTCCAGTAAGAAACAAAAAATCCAAATAGTGAATAATTATTTGTAATACTTAGGTGCTCAAAGGAGGAATCCACTGGTCTTTGAGTTCTTTGATAGGAAAAAAGTAGAATGAAAACCCATGAAACATTTTCAACTTTAAAAATAAAAGCAAAATGTGTGTGAGTGTAAAGTTGCTGATTTTCTTGGAACTTTAATTTTCTGCTAAGCAAATTATATGACCTAATTCTGTTCCAAGAAAAAAAAAAAACTAAATACTTATCTTACGGACAGCATGCCACTTGAGATTTGGATGGCCCTGAACCTACCAGCTTTCATAAAGCACTAAAGATCTGGTTCTTCTCCTAGGCACTGGGCCAACCTGTTTGGTGAGCCCATCTCGGTGTTGTGGTTGTATGTTTTTGAGTTGTTCCAAACATGTTGTCTTAAATTATCTTTTAAATTGCGTGTCTTTATTGTTAGTTATTTTTAATTAACTGTTAGCCATCCAGAGAGTAATGTATGTATAGGGGGCAGCCACACATTAAACAAAGAAACAAACAATCAAATATTTGCAGATTTTTCAGGAGGAATAATGGTACTTCCTTAAAGACTTGATCTTTTTTGCCTCGTGACTTATCTCCAGTTTTGTGCTTCATATAAGCCAAAAAAAAAAAAAAAGCCAGCTACATGCATGATTTAAATGGTCTCACCTTGGTAAGATCTTTGTAAAGTTCAGGATACAATAGTGCCATTTCTGGTTTCACATCTTGATCCAACACTAAAGAGAAGACTGGGAACATAGTGTATATGGTTGCATACCTTAAAGAAAAATAATTTTAAAATAGTTGAACAATGTTTAAAGCCATATTCTTTACATAAACGACTTCTCTTTGAAATAAAATTTTTGAAGCACTGTGATTACTACTTACCCCACCATAAGGAAACCCTGATACAGAGGAACAGATGCAAAATAGAAGACAGACGAAAACACAGCCTAGAAGAATATAAGCAGTTACACTGGGATTATTATACATCATACAGTATTGTGGAAGGTATTATCAAAGTTAGAAAAAAAGGATCTATAAACTGTTTTCCACATAAGCAAAAATAATTAGATACCTGCATAGTTGAAATAATAAGGCCTCTGTGCATGACAAATTGACCTAGAGCTGCTGATCTTTTGTAACTGTTTCGACCATGTACCATCAGCAGTCTACCAATGTGTTTAAACTGTGTTATAGAAAAATCAGCAGCCAAAGAAGCTTGTTTCCCTTCCTAAATAAAAAATAAAATCATATAATGATCAATGTAAATATCACTGTAGCGTAATGTAGTGTAAATACGTAAACAAGGAGCAATTCCAAATCTGAAATTTGAGCAATAATAGAAGAATTGGTAATTTACTTGCTTTGAGATTCTCAAAGTGCTTAGGTTAATTTGGAGGACAACCTTCAGAAAGTTCTAGAGCTAAGATTTTTTTGGCAGAAATCCATTCTCTTCAGAATTGTCCTATATACTGGTATGAATTCTACACCTCCATCAGCTTTTGCCACAATGAGACCCAAAGCTTTACTACTTTTGAGGGAGAGAAGGGCAGGTTGTGTGAATTTATAGAAGATCACTTGAAGAATCTGCTCAGTTATAAAGAATAACTTTTTTTCTGTCTGTGAAATCAACATTTGGTGTTTTGCCTAACTCAGTATCAGATGTCACTTAAGCACTATTGACAGTATTGGCCTCCCTAAAATGCATCCTGTCAGGATTGAAGACCAATCTAAAAATGCATACTAAAAGAAGTAGACAATGACCATATAGTTATCCTGCCTGTTCCCCAAATAATATTCTCAAGCTGCTAAAATCAAAAGCTCCACTAGGACTGCCTTGCCTACATTCTACAGAGTTGACTGTAACATTTCCTAGCATCTGTTTGGACCTTGGTGCTGCTGTGTTTTGGGTGCAGGATGTGGGACAGAACTGAACTGTGGAAGATACCTGGTGGTCTGGATAGCAGATGGCTTGAGTCACAATCTCCTGGACACAGTATTCAGCTTTTGTCAGAAGTTTAGGGTGTCATCTCTTTTGGGGCTGAACAATCCTCATTATTAAAGGGCTGATCTTCTAGGGAAATGAAGTCTCCTGGGTCAGACCCAACAAACTTAGTCTATGTATGACTTTCGTTACCACAGTAAGAAATACATGTCAGTTCTTCTCCGGCCCAGTCAGAAAGCAGAAGAACTATGGAGTGGAAATGACAAAAGAGACTCCTAGGGCATGATTTGATAAAAATAAGGAATGGGTGCAATTGAATGGGTGTATGATCCTATATTAAGGACTATGCTGTGGTGTTAGGCAACAAAACGTAACTAGTTTTCTGTTTTCATTATGTTTGCAGAATGCTGTCTAGCAGTCCTATTTACAGCGACTCAGTCCCTGCCAGAAGAATATCTGAAGAACTACTGTGAAGATGTCAGTCCTTTGAGATAGGCAGTGTCAAGAAACAGGCATGGCAGGAATTCCTGAAATGCTCTTCATTGTTGCAAAGTAGAGTAACAGAATCTTGAAAGCCTGTCAGAGTTTCTCCCTGCCGCATCTTATACTAAATAAAATCAAGGCAGGGTTATTTTGAGTTACTTTTTCACACTCTTGTCTTTCTCAGGAATGAGTAATCTTTTCTGAAAATACCCCATAGTGGTTTGCTCATTCCTCCCCTATTTTCAAGGCCATGTCTATATTCCTTTACACCATCTCCCATCAGAATCACTTCCCCTTCTCTGTGAAAGGCAGCTGAGGCAATTCATCAAGGGCAACAAACATGGAGTAACTCCCCTGGCACCCTCCACCTTCCCCCCACCCGTGGTTCTGACAGCTTGACAAGGTCAATGGACAGATCTGGTGCAACAGAGCTAGATGGAGCTGGAAACTGCCTCTCCCCTCCTGTTGCACCACCACCACCACTGGAGGGTCCAACATGGCATAAAGCAAAGAGTCTCCTTCATCCTAGGGTGGTGGTGGTGATCTTTTCTGAAAGTATGCCCCAAATGGTTCAGTCATTCCTTCCCCATTTCCAAGACTAGTTGGAATTCCTTCACAAAAGATTATTCTAAGCACCTGATGGATAAAATCACTTGGATCCATTCTGAATTGGACTCTGGCTGGACAGGTTCATCTGAATTGGCTGAGGTAGGGTCTGTCCTGTTATCTGGGAAGAGTTAGAGCCTGTAAGTCTTGAAAATTAAGACTTCCGAAAAGTCAGTAGGGTCTTTTCTACTGACAAATTTCAGGGCAGGCTTCCTGGACACTGTTTAATAGAATAAAGGCTCCAACTCATGTCTACCTCGTGTCAGATTCACTCGTTGTCATCCTCCAGGAGCAGGCTAGGTGTTTCTTCTTCTGTTTCATCACTCAGAGCTCCTCTGCAAACCAAGGAGAGCCCCAGACTCCATGGGCAGGGAGAGGCCACATAGGAATGATCCATCCTCTCATTCCAGATGGTGACTAAAGCCTTAGGCAAAGCATGCCCCAGACTTTCAAGAACAACAACAAGCTTCCTCTGAAACTCTACCAGGTCCATCAGACACCTGGGGTGGACTGATTGAATAGGTGCTTGCTTCCATGTGTTGGGGAGCAGCACCAGAGCTCCTCAAGGCAATCAGAAAGTGATCATTCAACAGCAAGGGAGTGATAGTAGTGTCCCCTAAAGACAAATCACATTACCACTGCCTGAAACAAACATCAGATTCAATGTGTGACCACATTATGAGTCAATCTCTCATGAGTCACATCCATGATTGCCGATTTCCGGTGGGAATATGGCAGCTTAGACACCTCTCCATGACAGGGAGAGATGACACCACAGCTGGATTGGTTGCTGGCAGCAAGTGCTGGCTGCCCAACTTGCTCTAGATAAAGGAGAAAGTGAGGAAATCAACCCATTTGGTCTCCTGACAGCCGTTCATGGAGACTGAAGCCTCTGGGAATGGCTCTTGAGTTGAGCAGCTGGGAGGTGGGGGAATCATCTTTGTTCATCGCTGCGGTGCAGCCTTAATGGACACTAGAGCTGACCGATTCCCATTTCTTAAACACTTTGGATTACAATTAGTTTTCAACTTAAGAGAGACTTTCTTTCACAACAGATAAGTAAATCTCTTGGGGCTTATCCTTATTTTTGGGACTATATTTTTAAATGAAGAAATAGTGTTTTAAATTAAGGTGATTAATTCGCAAAAGTTGGAGAAAAAGTGGAATTTAAAAGAGACTTAAATTTACTTATAGTGAAAAAGGAAGATTTTATTTGTTAGAAGTTTACTTTTTTATGAAATTCCATCTGCAGCAATAAAGTTTGTTTTTTTCTACGGGAAAGTTTCCTGTTTGGTTCAATTCTGCCTGCTGATTGGTGGGGGTTTAGAAACAGAGCTAGACTGCAACTTGATTCCTGTGTGATCTCTTTAGTGAACACATGCACCTGCAATCTCAGCTTGAAAGGCATGAGAGGGCGTGAACTGCAGTTTACTTTCACTTGCAATTAACTGCTATACTTTTTACTTGTCTAAATGGAAAGAAAAAGAAGAAATGATTAAAAGAGGTGGAGCAGCTGTTAAAAGATAAAATAACTTCTCTAAGCCTACTCCAGTCAATGTCTGATGAACTAGGAGCTAGACTTAAGCCCCTTGGAAAAAAGATAGAGGAAAAAGCAGATAAGATGATTACATCTGGAAAAAAGGTGGAAACTGAATTGAATATAGAACTGGAGCTCAAAAAGAAATTGGATTATGAAAGTGATATGAATAAGGAAGTTGTGGATTTAAATATGGACTTAAGATGGCCAAGGGATGATATAGAAAAAGATGTCAGAATGGAATTACAAATGAAATCAATTGATGTTACAACGTTTAAAGGGGACATACAAATAATGGAGAAGAGTGAGTTGGAAAGACTTTACACTTTGGATTTGCAGAAGGAATGCATTGTATCAGTAAGGCTGTTCCTGGGAAGAGATGAAGAGAAAATATAGGAGATGTTCTGGGGAGAAGACAAGAAGATGATGCAGAAGGAACTGGTGGGATATTACAAGAAAGGACTAAAGTTTAAGCTTTTTAAAAGTAAACAGAAGGTTTACAAAGTGAATTTATTGGACTATGGTTAATATATATGTTGAGGCTTTTGGTAGGTATTAATGGGATTTATTTTTATGACCAGGACTGAACGACAATGTTTTAAGGATTTTGGTATAAAGTTCACTAAGGTTAAGATATATTTGTTATTAAATCTATGGAATCTTTGTTTTTATATATGACAATAGTAGTAAGGTTTTTATAAGTATAAAGGTGGAAGGATACGTCATAGTTTATAATTTTATTTTACATATATGGTAACAGCAAGGTTTTTAAATGCATAGAGGTGGAAAGAAAAGATATTATTTATAATGAATAATGATTTGTGAGGTGGATGGAGTTGGCCAAGATGGTAATAGTTTTGACTTGAGGTAAGACATTAGGTAATTTTAGTGTTAATTGGATTTTTTTTTTAACATTTTGTGGGATATATAAAAATGAAATTATGTTGTATAGGTTTGATGATTAGAAATAATATGGGTTAATAGAAATAATGGA